GTTGAAAATGACAATCGCTTGATCTTTGAATCATGCAGTTGCCTATCTACAAATCATAATTGTGGCCAAATAAAACATATTGATATATCCAAATCTAGGTCGAAGCTATGCTACAGACCAGGTGGTAATAATGGCCATCATTTATATGTTTGGAAACTACTAATAATCCACTTGATCATCTCAAGTAACAAACCACTGACTAATTAGCCATGCATCAAGAAAAGCAGAAGTTGTTCATCTCAATAAAAATAATCCAAATTACCATATTTATTTATTAAAAAATGGTTATATACTAACCCCAAGCCATTTCCAACAAAGCAAATATCATTGCATTTTTTTTCTATTGGTACTTTGGATAAGTGTGGGTGGACTTGATAATTGACACGAGGAAGCTGCTAAAAGAAAGGAATCTAATCAACAACAAGGATCTTCTAATGGTTTCCTTCTGGTTTATCTGGTGGGAGTGTTGAAATATTTTCATGAGGAAAAAAATATGATCCCCTTGCTCACTCATCGATGAGCATGAGGACGGTACGTAGTTGTAAACTCCATTGCTCTGGAGGATCGTGCACCGATGCCAAGTTCATAAATGGACTTTATCTACGTTCGGCAGTGTGTAGCTCAACAAGAACACTTCGTTTCACACTGATGGAGGCAACGGGGCCTATGGGCTATTCTTCGTGACTCATTTGGGGGTTTCGTTGCGAAAAGTGCCTGCAACTACCGGGCTTCACTGCTCTAGATATTTGAATTTTTTTAAAAACACACCTAGGTTGCTAGAAAAATCTTAAATCAAATACGTGAATACATACACACATTCTTAAGGCCCGGTAAAAACCTGAAAAAAATACGTTGTATTTAGATATAAAAAAGATATAATTCTGACAGGAATGACTCCCCTTTTGTCCTATATACTACTAGAAATTTGTTTTTTTCTATAGCCAAAAACAAAACGAGATAACTACCACAGTTGCCACGGGTATTTGGAATGTGTATATGTATCCCTGGAAAAAAATTCACATTTTTTTTTGAAACTTCAAAACACAAATTTCAAAATGTTTAAATATAGAGAGCACTCGAGCTCGGGTGTTGCAACACGTTGATTCATGCAGGTACAAGCGGTCGAGGTTGGACATTCCACCGATGGAAGCTGAAGCATTAATGATGGGCCTGAAGTTAGCAGAAAATTGGACATCCACTCCCATGCGGTGGAGAGATTCAATGAAAAATATTCAAGGCGTGAAGAACCAGTCGGAGTACCGCACTTTAGAGGCAGTTGTCACTTATGATTGCCGGAATTTGATGGCAAGCTTTGGAAGGGCGAGGATGATGCACTGGGGGCGAGAAGCAGATTCACATGAACACTTGGTCGATTTTGTTTTATTGACAGGCCTGAGAGGTCAAGGGGAACCACCCTCTTATTTCCCGGTTCCAGTTCTTGTAAAGGATATGATAATCATTTAAACAAAGTTGTCAAACTTAAAGAAAAATAATCTTCCACTGTTGAAAAACATTAAGGATGTGCACATTTGTGCTTGATCATGAAGTGAAATGGACCATGAAGGGACATTTTAACTTGTTTTATTGAGAGGGCATGAGAAGTCTGAAGGGATCATCTTTCTTGGCCCGTGATAATACAAAAGGTGTCTTTATATATATGTTTGTTTTCACAGAGTATGAGAGAGATGGAGATAAATTATGTCGACGTCCAAAAAGAATAGCTTGAAGACCCTTGGATTTTTTATGGCAGCGCACGGACACCTTCCAAAGACAAGGGTTTCGGGCGATGTTTTATGGCATTGCACGTGCATCTAACATACTAAATTCAGCTTTGACCTTATCATTTGTTTGATTCATTTATATGCATGCATTGTAGCCCGTAGCAATGCACGGACGTTTTACTAGTCATGTTTAATTATACACCTTAAGTTACACCTATGACCTATTGATTGGCTGTTATTCCCTCCGTCTCATAAAATAAGACGTGTTTTCACACTAGTCTTATATTATGGGACGGAGGGAGTAGCTAATATCGAGAAAATGAGGGAAAAACTACTGGCGTCCGTCGAAACAGGATTCATCTCGAGGACAAATGAGCGTAATAAGGTAAAATATCGTTCAATTTGTATTATATATGCCGTTTGTCTGTAATTTATGACTGAAATGAATTCAAGAAGGAATAATCTAAACACTTAAGAATCATTGTGCACGAATGCACATATGAACTGCCGAGAAAGTTGCTCGAGCCTCGTTGGCTCCAGAGCTGATCATTGCTGCGGCGGCGCGATCTTGAGGTCGAGGCCGACGTTGAAGCCGTTGTAGGCGATCGGCGCGAACATCCACATGTCATCCGAGCTCAAAAGCTGTGCACAACAGGAAACAGTCAGGATCAATTTGCTCAAAACAGTTTCTACTAGTTATTAATCTTCTGAAGATAAAAGTGCAGCCCTGAAAAACATCCATAGATTTCTAATAAAAGGGTTAATATATGGTTGGAGTTTCGCCAGAACCGACCTTGATCTGGAGCTCCATGAACTTGATGTAGTGAACTGCTTCTTCCAGCATCGTGCTGATGTCCACCTGAAAGCCAAATCTCGCATGCATTAGAAATTTATAACCACATCATCATTTCCCCAGATATTTGCATTAGTATAACAAATGTTCCAGTCGTAGCTCGAATGTTTGAAATTTAAAAATAATTACCTTGGTTCCGTTAGGGATGAGGTTCTGCAGCACCTTCAGCCGCTCGTTGATCTTTTCTCTACGTTTCTGCTAACGACAACACAAACATTTCAGATTAATATTCAGACTTCATCACAGACGTTGTGGCCGACTGCGTTGGCACTTCTACCCATTAACTTACCCTGGCGTAGAGGCTCTGCGGGTCGGTGGCCGCTCCGCGCCTGGCCCTCGCCTTGGCGCCGCCGCCGTGGTCACCCCGCGACGACGACGTCTTCTTGGACGCCGAGCTCATGTTGCTGCAGGAGGTCATCTCCAGCGAGCCCTCCTCGTCGGAGAGGTAGTTGCTGGAGCTCTGCACGTTGTTGGTGGCCTCGCCATTGCTCTCTTCCTGGGCGCCTCGGCTGCACGAGCCCTTCGAAGCCTTCTTGGGCTGCGCGCTGCTCTTGCCCTTCCTCTGCACCTGCATCGATCAGACAGACACTCAACGCCGTCAGGCACCCTGACCCCGTGACATATTATGTCAAGAGCTGCCAGGAACTCAGGACACGTTTTCACGTACCGGTGGTGCCGTGGAGCGCGCCTTCTTCTTCGGGGCGGTGACCGCGTCGCTCTGAGTGCCGTTCTGGTCGCCGAACTTCCTCTTGCACGCCGCCGCCGACGTGCCGGCGCCGTCGTCCTGGTCGTCGAACTGGAGGTTCAGATCGACCATGAATCCAGCCGGATCGGCCATGATCTGCTCCTCCGGCGCCACGAAGAAGTTACCGGCCATGGCAGTGGCATCGCCGTCGTAGTAGCCGTGGCTGTAGTAACCCGCTCCGGCCGAGGCGTGATCCTGCATCTGCATGCAGTACGGCGCCGAGGTGTAGTACTGGTCGGCAGCCTCCTGGCCAGGCCAGTACATGGACGACGGCGGCGCCGCGGCCGGATGCTGCTTCTGGTCGTTGCCGAAGAACTGCACCCCGAGCAGCCGCGCCATCTCCTCGGAGTCCTCCGCGGCCACCGACGGGTCGAACGAGTGCCAGCTCGCCTCCGAGGCCTCCATTGTTCGATCGATCGATCTCTCTCCTGGCACTACGGACGACTAGACGAAGACGTACGCTGTTCGACGGCTGGCAGAGTACGTATGTTGTATCTCTTGTAGATGCCAGATTGCCAATGCGCGTGTGCAGACATTTATACCAGTAGCTGAATGTGGGACTACTCGTGATCTTGGGGTACACAAACGGAATGTTCCGCGCGCGGACAAGTCTGACCATTGCGCTTTCAACATCAGGGCAGCTTGCCGCCATTGTTTAACACACGCAGCATTCGCTCCAGTTGGAGATGCCGGACAGCTACCGGAGACCGCTGAATTTCGCGCAACCGCGGAATAGAAAAAACCGTCCGTGAGGCCATTGAAAGGGTGCGATGAGTGAGAAACTGAGAAGAGGAGTGCGGGATGATGATCATAAGAATAATGGTGGGAGTAAACAATCAGGATCATGATTAGGGTGAGCGCCGGTAGAGTAATGTGCAGCGGGGGTGGTCTCGACGTCTCGTACGAGCGATTTGAACCGGATGACGACGCACTCGGCGAAACGAGAAACACGGATGGTAGGACTGTAGTTGGGGACTTGGGGATTAAAGAAAGAAAGGCGATCGATGGTTGTGCAGGGGTTGGCAAAGATCGTGCGGAAGAGTTCCCTGTCATTATAATCTCCGCGGGCAATTTTCTGTTTTTGCTGCTTTCAAATCATTGATTCTGATCTTTTGCCTCCTCCTGCAGGGGGTTCGGGACTTGCATTTTTTTTTCCTCTTTGATGTTTTTTAGTACTAGTTTGTTGGCTAAAATTGGAGGGAAGAGAGAATAAATAAATGATTTGGTCGGCAGTTCGTGGTTAGTGAAAGTTTTGGATTAGTGTGGTCTCATTCGTGGGTTTGTCTGGTAGTCTCTCTGTTCATGTCCATGCATTATCTGTTCACAATGGCAAAGGAACAGCAACTTTGGACCACTGGTTCAGTGTCTCCACAAACAACATTGTGTTGTGCCAAACACTCGGAAAAAAAAACATTGTTGTGCTATATTTGGTACTCCCTCCGCGACAAGTAATATGAATCGGAGGGAGTATTGTAAATTCTTTCACATCTGCGTGATATTTCATGTAAAAGAGCAATGACCTACCAGCAGAGAGGAAGTGGCATCGTGGCACGCCTAGAGATTTCCTCTCTCTAGTATCGAACCGATCTCTGGTAGGGATTGAATTTAGATTCATAGAGTTTCTTATCTCTTCTTTGCCCTAAATCACAAATCACAATATAGTCTGACTACATCCCCCTCCCCTACCCACCCACCCACCAGTTGTACCAAACTGAGACTTCTCTGCCCAAGGTCACTCCTTTGTTCGTCTCATGAAGCACATCATGCATGAGACCGTCCATCGCTTACTGACCTTTATGTTGCCTAATACTTCTCCATCCCAGTTCCCGACGTCCGCCGCAAGGGGGAGAGCAGGCCTTTGAAACCACTACTCGTATCTCCTTCCACGTTGCTCCTTTGCACATCTCACGAAACACAATGCACATGAGACCTCCCCTCGTTTACTAAGATTTATGTCGCCTGAGACTTTTCCATCCCGCTTCACGATGTCTACCGTGAGGGATAGCAGGCTTATGAGACCACTGCTTGCATCTCCTTCGAGATTGTCGCGGACAACTACCTCCTCCATGACACTTACTTCCTCCACGACATCTTGACAACCGATGCTGCTGCCACTACAAACACATCATCATCCACCACATTGTATATGCCATCATCACTTCTTTTAGGAATCACTTTTGGGACTTTGGTACTAGCAATCGAACTAGACCTGTTATATTTGTTTTACATACTAGATTACATGTCTAATTTGTTTTGAGCATCTACAACCGAACCCCCTTCCCTCCTAAACGTCTGGGCTGCCTTGCACCCCTCAAATCCAACCCATATGTGGGGCGGATTTGGGCCGCCTAGACATGCCCGGGTGCGACCGCCACATCGGACCCGATAGGACGGACCTACTCCAAATAAGAAATTGACCAAGTTCACCAAGTCATCCGCCCTCTCTTTATCGACGAGTCATCGTCCTCCTCCACCCTTGCTCCTCGTCTATGCTGCAGTCCTAGATGTCGACGCCCACTATAACATCCCCTACCGCCATTGATGATGGCTTGGCCGAGTCCGTGGGTGTCATGACCGTCGTGAGCAAGGTGGAGACCGTTGCCCGGAGAGAGCGTTGTGCAGCAGCCGCCCTCGAAGCAGCGGAGAAGGAAGCTGCATTGAAGGACACATTCGTCAGATCAATTTTTGGATGATTGCTTCGTTGTGATACATCTTTTAGGACACATTCATGATGAACATGATAAATGATGGTCAAGAAGCTCCACATTATGACTTGATACCAATGACCTTTTGTTTGATATTGGGCAAACACCGGGTACTAAAAAAGGAAGGCATAAAAGGCAAGAGGACTGACATGCACAAGCCATGAAGATGTGTTGTTGTGTGATGCTTGGTAGGCCATAAGGATGGATCATGTTTGTGGAACCGATGAAAAGGGCATAAAGTATTGGCGGAAAATCCACAAACATTATCATGAACACAAGCACTATGTGGAGTTGATTGGTATCCATCCATACCACCTACAATGAGGGCTCTCTCCAACATAGATGGGCCACCATCCAAGAGTGCATGAACAAATTTTGCAGTTTCTATGCACAAGTGGTTGGACAAAACCAAAGTGGCATTGGAATCCAAAGCCATGTAA